GACTGGTGTAGCACTGTTGATGACCCCTCCCATCACTTTGCTGATGATGGAGAGTAGACTGGGGCAGTTATTGCCTGTGTTGGATTTTCCTGCTTTTCTTGTGGGATATTGCCCAGGTATGTTCGGAACACATTGTCAGGTATATGTTGGTGTTATTGCTGTACTTAAATGGCTTTACTTGGGACACATAAAGTTCTGGAACATGAGTTGCTTTTTGTCATTTATATAAGTGATTTGGATGTGAACATAGGAGGTATGGTTAGTAAGTTTGCAAATAACACCAAAATTGGAAGTGTACCAGACAGTGAAGAAGGTTACCTCAGAGTACAACAAGACCTTGATCAGATGGGCCAATGGGCTGAGGAGTGGCAGATGGAGTTTAAATAAATGTGAGGTGCTGCATTTTGGAAAGGCAAATCTGGGCAGGACTTGTACACTTAATGGTAAGGTCCTGGTGAGTGTTGCAGGCTCATAGTTCTTGGAAAGTGGAGTCCCAGCTAGACAGGACAGTGGAGAAGGCATGTGGTATGCTTGCCTTTATTGGTCAGTGCGTTGAGTATAGGAGTTGGGAGGTCATATTGCAGCTGTGCACAACATTAATTAAGCCACTTCTGGAATAGTGCGTCCAATTCTGGTCTCCCTGTTATACAAAGGTTGTTGTGAAACTTGAAAGGATTCAGAAAAGATTTACAATGATTGTTGACAGGGTTGGAGGGTTTGAGCTACAGGGTGAGTCTGAATAGGCTGGAGCTCTTTTCCTTGGAGTGTTGGAGGCAGAGGGCTTACCTTACAGAAGTTTATAAAATCATGAGGGGCATGGATTAGGTGAATAGCCAAGGTCTTTTCCCCAGGGTAGTGAAGTCCAAAACTAGAGGGCATAGGTTTAAGGTGAGAGGGGAAAGATTTAAAAGGGACCTAAGGGGCAACTTTTTCATGCGGAGGTTGCATGTATGGAATGAGCTGCTGGTGGAAGTGGTGGAGACGGGTACAATTAGAACATTTAAAAGGCATCTGGATGGATATATGAATAGGAAAGGTTTAGAGAGATATGGGACAAATGCTGGCAGATGGGACTAGACTTATTTAGGATATCTGGTTGGCATGGACAAATTGGACCGAAGGATCTGTTTCCATGCTGCTGTAACATTCTTTGACTCTATTGGCTTTGCAGTATTCACTGCCTTCAGTTTCTTGATTTGACATGGAATGAATCGAATTGGCTGAAGACTGGCATCTGTAATGGTGGACACTTTTGGAGGAGACTGAGATGGATTGTCTGTTCACTTCTGACTGAAGAGTGTTGCAAATACTTCAGTCTTATCTTTTAAAAAATTTTAAACTGAGATATATTAAGTGTTGCATGTCTTTATTTTCTGATTTCTAAATCTACGATGGTGTCTTAGACCATAGCATTGATGTTTCATCTGACCTGATAGATTTTATTTTAATACTTCAAGTGTTAGCTTTAAAAATAATGAAAATCAATAATAATGAATAGACTGTGAGGTAATTTTCATGTCATTTTATTTTGTCACTTCTTATTTTAGGTAACTCATGAAAATGTCAATAATGAGAGTTCTTCATTGCAATCCAAAGCATTGGTTGCAAAATATCAACTGGTCCAGAGCTGTCCTCCTTACCAAACGACAGGAAATGTGGATGAAGGTGTTCGTCTAAACAGATCTGAATCTGACCATTTGAATGCCATGTCTACTTTGTCAGCAGAACCAGCAAGTACAAGTCAAGCTGGTAATTATAACCTCATTGTGTTGCATTTTTAAAAATAATTCTGGATTTCACTTGTAAGAGTTGTGTGGTTTGCCATTTTGTAGAAAATCACCTCTGTCAGAGAGATAAGGCATGCATTGACTAAGCAAGGAGGGCTGCTACTAACGCTGAGTGACTTTCCACTAAAACTATAACAACATCTTAAACTGATAGTAGAAATGCACCTCAAAAGTCTGAATTTTTAAAAATCTTGACAGCAGCAGAACTTTTAATTTCAGAGCATAATGTGGGCATATGCAGCTTCTCCACAGCTATCACTCAACAATTTTTTCTTGTATATTAGGGAAGTGTAAAGAATAGCTCTATGTGCATGATGTCAGCTCTCAGCTCTTTCCAGACACTGGATCTAATTCCAAGAAAATTTGCCAGTATACCCTGTACACAAAAATCAGGGCAAATTGCGCTCAGCGAGCCCTTCTTGGCTTGGGAAGATTCTCTGTTTTCGTCATCTAACTTGTTATTTACATGAGGCATATTTTGTATACTTAACATTTTTTCTGATTTTTCTTTTCATCAGGACTTGATGATATTTGATTGTAAGCCACTTTACCTGACCTTAATCCTGTTTTCATCCAATATTTAATTTATGCATGTCTATTCAGAATATGAGATTTTAAAAGCAGCGTTTGTACTTGACTTTGAGAAAATATTCAAGAGCAGGGTTGGAAACAAATGGAAAATGTGGCTAATGAGAACTGAAAAGAGCTGGTCATTTGAGAAAGGAGTGAAAGGTCTTGACTATGTAAGAGACCAAGGAAATAGCAGTGACAAGGACAAAGTGACTGGAGAATGGATAAAATTAAATTCCATCTGCCAACTGTCTGTCCATTCTGCCAGCCAATTTGTGTTTAGATATGAAAAACAAATTAACCCAGCACTGGCCCTTTAGGGGACACCATAGTCTAGAATCTTCCAATCTAAAAAATGACCGTTGACCACAACTCCTTTTCTTTCTGTTGATAAGTTGATTTTTTTTAAACTCAACTTAATGTTGACCCTCCTATTCAGTGAGTCACAATTTTGTTAGAGCAATTATCCACTTCGTGACATGGGCATTGTTCATGAATGAACAGATATTTTGGAAGGAAATGTTTAGGTTTGGATTTGGTTGGAGTGGACTGGGTTTGCTGTGCTTGTGGTGAGTGAGAATGGAATGAGAAGAATGTTGCTGGGATTATCTCCCATACAGGAGACAGGAGGATGAAGCTGTGGGGTTCGCTGCTCATCAGGAGTATCATTGGACTCTACAGAGAATGCAGGAGAAGAGTGGAGCGTCGGTTTAGACCTTTCCAAAGAGGAAAGTAGTGGTCTGAGATCTGGAAGGACAGCCAAATGAACACAAGACTAGAAACGGGAGATTTATATTTCTATTATAGTTCATCACGTTTGTCAGAAACATTTTGAAGCATTTCACAGTGAATGAGTTATTTTGAAATGCATTGGCTGTTAATCTTCAGTCATTGAAGTGCTCATTTTGTATACTGGCTCATGAAATTAATAAATCTGTTTTGATTTACTTTGGGGTAATATTGCTTGTGGGAGCTGTATTTGCCAGAATTTGAAGATCTTCAGTATTGTGTGATTTTTAATGTTCACTTGAAACTGAGAACCTGTCTGTTTGTTAACATCTCATCCAAAGGACAGCACCTTTTGAAAATTGCAGCTGTCCCTCTCACTGGATTACGGTGACAATTTAAGTTAGGAGTTTTGTCTTCTGACTTTAGAATTAAACTCATAACTGACTGACTAGTACAAAAGTTAAATGTCTCCAACTTGGCTAATTTGGAATGTGGCAAAAGTGATTTGTCCATTTTTATATTTGTCATCATTCATAGCTGTTTTTGTAATATGTCATGGAATTTAGGTTTTACTGTGAGCAGCAGAAAGAATATTTTCGTGAGCACTTTGCGCGAAATGCCTCGTTTAAATGATACAATTGTGTATATATTATACCGTAATGCTTTTAAATTCATCAAAATTAAAAATTATAGTCTTCCTCCCAAAATATTCTTATCCACATTTTTAATGCTTTTTTTAATTCGAACATTTCCGCTTACTCTGAGTGCCATGGCCTATAATTATTACCAGGATGCAATTATCATGAATTGTATCCATTGAGATGTCAGCAGATGGCAATATGGTGACATCTCCAACTCTATCAGTATTCTGACAGATACCCTATATAGATTGGGTTTAGAAATTAATCTTTCACAGTCTATACACCGAGTATTGGTTAAATTTAACGTAGTAATGTGTGCTTTTAAGCAATTCCCAATCTTACGGATTCATAAATTATGCTGGGGTATTTGAATTCAAATCATGAAGAAACTAACATTTTGACTGAATGGTCTATTTTTATAAATTTGTTGTGTGGGTTGCATGGTTTCAGCTTTCAGCCTGCTTTTGTTGCCAAAAGATCTGTTTTTCAATTTATGTTACAATATGTTTTCAAAAAAAATCAACATGACTTCAACTAAGTGACTTCATTTGTTTTTAAAAGAAAAACTTTGATTTGGTGGCAGCTGTAATGTGACAGTTTATTTAAATTTATGGAATGGAATACAACCGAGCATGATAGAGGAAGTGAAGTTCTTTGATTGACATCAGAACCAGCATGGGGAATGCAAACAACACTAAAAGCTTCACAGCAGGATTACTGGGGCCCTGTCAGGGATCACTACAGAACTGCAGAATTTCATGCATTCTGTTGTTCAACAACAACAATAATTTCTTTGTTCATAGTTTGATGGAAATCTTTCTATTTCAAACATGAAGTCGAGACTAAGTTTGTCTTTAAGGTTAAAGCTTTAAGCAGATACACTAACTGGCATAAAGATTAGGCTAATTTTGGTTCTGTAGATTTGCATGTAATACAGCAAAATGATAGCTTTTGAACACCTGCACCTTTGCAAAGCGATTCTTTTGCAAATGCTTCCAAAACCAGAGAAACAGATCAGATAACAAAACAGCCCTGCATTTGATTGGTCACCACATTAGGGGCTTGCACAGTCTCACTTTAGTCGAGAGCCTTAAGTAGGTCAGGCCTAGCTTAGCCAGCCTGCAGATCAGCTGCAGATGATCTCTGGATGAAGTCAAGCTGAACGGAATGTCAGTGAACCCCTCCTGATAGGCGTAGGCCTAAAAAGGCTGGCCTAGTTAAGCTTCAGCTTAGTGATTGAGTGAATGCTTTGCAGTCAGTTGAAGTTTGTGTGATGTGCTCTACAGAAAATATGCAAGGGAAAAAATCAAACCGATCCTCAAATTTTACCATATACGAAAAGATTGATCTGTTAAAACTTGTACAGCCTCACATCAAAGTTTTGGAGGTTCATAAAAATAATCAAGCCATAATTGTTGAAAAAAATCGTTGCTGGGAAACTATAGCACAACAATACAATGCTGTTGGAGTGGATCGCCCTCCTCGTAGTGCACAGGCTTTGCGAACACTCTATAAACGCATTAAAGAAAGTGCTAAACAAGAGATAGCTAGGAGAGAACAGCTGCATCCAGATTATAAAGGAAACGTCTCCGAACCAACCAGAAGAATTCTAGAAATGAATCCTCATATTTTCCAACCGCTTCTGAAGGTGGTAGACCCCGATCACTTACAAAGGTAAGGATGTCTTATTTTATTGACTATAAAATATGCTCTTCACTTGAGGCTTGTGTTCAGAACTCGTATTGCCATGACCACTTCATCCATATCTTTGGAATTGGGAAGGTGATTACATATGTTGGTCATCTCAAAACTTCAGCCATAAGGAAATCATTTCTATTCTAATTTTGGACCTTGACTTTAGTTAGCTGAGTGCTTGTCCCCTAATTGGGTTACAAGTTTAAGACTCTGTTCTGTCCACTGCAAATGTTTGGTTACACTGAACTTTGGGTAACTTAGCTCAGAAGTCAATCAATTGCTAACGTTTAACATATTTTGTGTATATGGGAATCAAATAAAATAGCCACTAACAAAGCTTCACACAAGTGTGATGAGAATGTGGAATTCACTGGATGTTTGAACCACATAGCATTGGTAGATTTAAAGAAAGGTTTCATAAACATATCTATAAGAGATTTGGGTAGTAAGGAGTGATGGATTAATCGGAGTAGGGAAAACTGTGGACTAAACAATGGTACAATGGCCTGTTGAACACATTGTAAAGATCAATGTTTTAAATGGAGAAAAACATGCCTACACAGGTGACAAGCGGTTGAGAAAGGTGTTGGTGGATAATAGCTGGGAACTATCACATACGTGTGGAACTTAGAGACATTCTCCAAGGTCATGACATTGAGATGTATTTGAGACATATAAATGACAAATAGAAGGAGACCAAAGGAAAATTCTTTCAGGGGAGGGAAAAGGAAAACATTTCAGGAGCTGACTATAGGCAGTATTAGTTCCACTCAGCTGGACAATGGAAGAGAGGTGTAGGAGGACAATTTCATGATCCAACCGTGTCAAAGGCTGCATAGACATCAAGAAGTAACGGGAGAATAGTGTGCTGCTATTTTGATCACAGGCTGTTTGGGCCATATTAGGGTTTTAAACTGAATGGAGAGATTCAAAATGGAGTTGGTAGAAAAATAGGCAGAGTTTGGAGGTCACAACACAATCTAAGACTTAAGAAATGCACTAATAGTTTGCATGATAGAGAAAATCAAAGGCAGGGTGTTTGGGGAAGGGATAATGATATCAGATTTAAAGGGAGAGGGAACACTGGCATGGTGTTCAGGAGGAGAAGTTGGATAGTGAGTACTGTGGTTGCAGTAGGTCAGACAAAGAGGCAAGTCTTTTGGAAAGACCAAGGGTGCATGTCGGGTAACAGAAGAGAAGCTGGAGAACAGTGTAGATTTTGGGGCGAGGGAGGGTGGAAATTTTGGGTTAAGCATGTCTTTGGAGGGAAGAGAAAGCTGAAAGGAAAACAGAAATTGTTTAAAAAAAAATACTCAGCAGATCAGGCTGCATCTATGGAAAGGTAAAAGGTAATGATTCAGTTTGACTATTTGTGAGAAGTGGAATGGTGGATTTTGTCAGCGATCAACAGATTATATCACTTTTTGTTGTTAAAGAATCCATGAACTCGCAATTATTGGAGGTGAGGACGGAGGGGGCAATGGACAAGTGTTTAAAGAGATGGTACTTGGCAAAAGAAGCTGGGGTTTTATTTGCATTCTGGAATGTTTCTGAATTCACCAATTCTGCTGAAATCTGATATTCATGAAGTGAACACTCAGATCTTGCTAAATTCTGTATGATCACAAACTTGAACTTGAACAGATTTTCCAACATGAATTGAAAAGTGGAATATTATGGAAGTCTGAAAATCTGAAATAAAAACAGAAAATTTGGGAAAAACTTGGTAGGTTAGGCAGGATCTGTGTAGGTAGAGAAGTAGAGTTAACATTCTGTTTTTATTTGTGTTTTTCATCATTCATTCTTTGGATTTGATCGTTGCTGACAAAGCCAGCATTTTTTGCATATCTTTAATTTTACTTGGAAAAGTTGGTGATGATCACCTTTGTGCAGATCATATGATGTAGGGAGAGCCAGTATTTTAATCCAACAATAGTGAAAGAACAGTGGGATGGTGTGAGGCTTGGTGGGAAACTTGCAGGTCATGATGTCCCAGGTCTCTGCTACTCTCTTGTTCTTCAATGTAGACTTATGTTGTGTGTTTGGAAGGAATTTCCAAAGGAGTCTTGGTGAGTTGTGCAGTGTATATCTTGTATCGTCCACTCTGCTGTCACTGTGGTGCACCAATGATTGAAGTGAGTTTTGAAGGTGACGGATGAGGATCTAATCAAGCGGATTACGTTGAGCTTCTAGCTTGTTATTGGAGTTGTGCTCACCCAGGCAAGTAGAAGGTATTCGTTTACTCTTGACTTGTTTGCAGATGCTGATCAGGTGTTGAGTTACCCACTAAAGAATTCCCTTGGCCTTTGACCTGTTCTTATGGATATGGTATTTTTATGGCTAGCTCTGTTAGATTTCTGATCAATGGTAAACTTCAACTCCGTTTATGGATGGGAATATACAGTCAAATCATTCAGCACTAAAGGAGGGTATTTGGTCCTTTGTGTCTCTGCTGTTTCTTTGGAGCTATTAGAATAATCCCACTCCCCTGCTCTTTCACCATGGCCTTGTAATTTCTTTCCATCCCAGTGTTTACAAAGTTTTACATGGATATCTAGTGCAGAAGTAGACCGTTTGGCTAACCAGCCCATGCCAGTGTTTATGCTGTACTTGAGCCTTCTTCCTTTTTTTGCTATTTAAATCTATCATTGTAACTGTCTATTGCCAGCTCCATTTTATGCTACTCTACCTTCTTCTTCAAATTAATTTAAACTATTCACTTCAAACTTTTCCTGTGGCAGCAAGTTTTATACTTTTTGTGTAAGGACGTTTCCAATGAATTATCGATTGTATTTCATGAAGATTATCTTTACCTGCCTCCCCACAAGAGGAAATATTCTCTCTGTAACCCATCTATCAAAACCTTTCCATAATTTTAGAGACATGAAGTAGGTTGCCAATCCACCTTTTGCTTTAAGGCAAAAGAGACCTAGTCTGTCAATCCTTTCCAGATATTTATACCTATTCATTTCTGTTGTCAACCTTTGTAAATTGTTTCTATACCCTTGTTTTAGTGACTTTTTATAATATGGTGACCAGACTGTATGTAGTATTCTCATTGTGGTCTAACCAAAATTTGCAGGTTTAGTATAACTTCCCTGCTTTTCAATTTGATCATTCTAGGAAAAAAAGCTTAGTGCTTGTTTTAATTTTTTCTGACCTTGCTAACCTAAGGCACCACTGTAAGTGGTGTATTTATGCTCTGATCCCGTTATTCTCTACTCCACTAAGACTTGTACATTCCAAATCATAAATGACCTTTTTTATCCTTTCTATCAAAGTGTTCTACCTCACATTTACATGTGTTGAACCTGGTTTGCTAATTATCTTCCCAGTCTTCACGTTTGTTTATGTCCACTTGTAATTTTTACAGTCTTCCTCACTATGGACAATTTCCCATTTCCCCTCCCTCAGTCAGGTTGGTGTCAAGTGGGAATTAAGAAATTGCCTTTGATTCCAAAGTCAAAATAGTTAAATTGGTCCTTTTTTAAGAGGTGGACAGAGTGATGGTGGAAATATTTAAACAAATATTTTGCTTTATTACTTACCAAGGACATGGGCGTGATATAGGGTAATGAGATGAGCAATGAGATAATTGCATTTTAAATAAAAAAGGATGTATCAAACAAAATAAACTCTCAAATAATAAAATCCCTAAGCCGTATGGGGATCGTATCAACATGTTTTAGAGGTATTTAGGAAAGAAATAAAATGTTTAGAATTTTCTTTAATTCATTGGAAATTTTGTGAACTGAAGTGGTCCCAGCACTGATCCCTCTGTCACATTGAATAACTTCCTCTGCACCCACAAACCCTTGTGTGAATTGTTTGTGTTCTGAAACAGTTGACAGTCTCCCCATGTAGCCTTAATTGTCTTAATTTAACTGTGCAAATTGGTTTCTGCTTTGTTAGACTCAGCAGTCAATCTATTTCTCAGCCCTCCCATTGGAATGTCTTTTATCCGTAGGAATGTATTGAGAAGTTGTCGCGGTGAGGCTGCTCACTAATTTTCGATTCCTGTCCCCCTCACCCCATTGAACGTGTCTGCTTGCCTGCCATCAAGAGGCTCACTGAGCCCACTGAGTCTGCAGAGGGATCTGTAAATGACCAAGAATCCACAGATGCGGTATAATGTGGAGAACAGTGAGGTTATTCACTTTGGTAGGAAGAATAGGAAAACAGTAGCTGGATTTTCTATTTTTTTTCAGTGATGCAAGTGTATTTATGAGTGAGAGAGATCTCCACTAGTGGAAAATCTAGCTGGTTCAACTGCCAGTTAGACACACAAGTGAGCCTGTAGGCCAGTCATGCCCTGGGATGTCCTGCTCCACTGAAGCTGATGGCTGACAGCAATATATGATCAGCAGCAAGCCATGGGAAGGCCTGGGCTACTGGCTGCATAGCAGCCCTAAAGTCTGGGACCAACCAAAGGTGAGTGATTTTCTTCGGAAGGACTTATTGGGAGTGAGGGCATATGGGTGATTTTTCAACCTCCCTGTCCCTACACCCGTGCCCAGATTGGAGCAATTCAAAGTTCCTACCATCCCGTTTTCCCAGTTGGGAAAGCTGCCACTTTTGCCCGATGAGAACAAAGTTAATTATGCTGACGGTGTGTTGCAGCCTCTAAGTGGTCGATAATTGATTGTGGCTCAGGCACATTGACCATGGGCATTAATTAGTGGCAGCTTTGGAAGGTTCACTGTAAGCTTTCTTGCCTAGAACTTAATTCATGAGATGTTAAGAAGGAGGCAGGTATTGCTCGTATCAACCTGCCAGGTTTATTTTTTTTTTAACCCCCATTTGTCCTCCCAGAGAATGCTGCCATTTCAGAATTGAAAGAATAAGATCTGATAGGGGAGATGCTTTTTGTCTATCTAATGGTGTCCAGTCCATTGCCATTAGTTTTACAGGAGTTCGGCTTGAATGCTGTGGATCTAGTTTCAATAAAGACATGAACATTTGATTGGTACTGTTGTTGAATCTGGAGGATATGGAGTAGTCATTGCCAACGAATTTTCTCTGGGCGCTGTCAAGTGGAACCAGTGCATTGTCTAGGTCTCACTGCAGTTTAGGAGTGTGATGTTGACTTCAGCTCTGCACAGTAAGACTTTGGTTGATTAATAAAAGGTCATTGTAGTCAACCACTCAGTACTGTAGTTTGCAGAAGGCTGAGTTGGCATGGCTGAACCAGTTTCAAATCTCTTTGTTGTTGGTGGCATTTTCAGAGAGGTGACTGCCAGGGTACAAGAACTGCTAAGCGTGCAGACATACGAGCTAGGAACAGGAGTAGATCATTCAGTACCTGGAGCCTGATCTGCCACTGAACAAGATTAAAGCTGACCTGATTATAATCTTAACTCACGTTCCTGTCTGTCTCTAATAATCTTTTACCTCCTTGCTTACCAAGAATCTATTCACCTCTTGCTTAAAAGTATTCAAACCCTGCTTCCATTGACTTTTAAGGGATAGTGGTCAAAAGACTCATTACCCTCTTCTTATCTCCAGTGAATACAAGCCTACTCTGCTCAACATTTCCTCGTAAGACCAACCCCCATTCCAGTTATAAGTCTAATAAACCTCCTCCAATGTGCTTCCAAAGCATTTGTGTCCTTCCTTAATTAAGGAGACCAATACTGTATGCATTACTACAGATATGGTGCCACTTGTGCTCAATCTCATGAAGCATCATCAACCTATTTTGTTTTCAGATTTCTTCTCAATAAGTAATAACACTAGTAGCTTTCCTAATTACATGTGCTGGGTCTGTGTACTAGTCTTTGCAAATCATGCACTAAAATCCTTCTGCATCTTGGAGTTTTGCAGTCCCTCACCATTTATGTAATATGTTTCATTTTTACTTTTCCTACCAAAAAGGCCTATTTTACATTTTTCCACTTTGTTCTCCATTCTCCAGATCTTTGCCCATTCACTTAGCTTATGTATAGCCTTTGTAGACTTGCGTCCTCTTGGCAATTTACTTTCATACCTATCTTTGTGCCATCTTCACATTTAGCAACCATACCCTTCAGTCCTCTGTCCATCATACTTACGTAGATTGCAAAAAGTTAAGGCCCAGGTCTTGATTGTTATGAGTTTGTCCTAGCAATAGTCAAAGTCAGGCCATGTCTCTTGTACATAAAATTGAAAAGATTGGCAGTAATTTGCAAATATAATGCAGAGTTAACAACAATGCTAAAATCATCTGCAAGTTGTCAGTTATACATGTCAATTATGCTAATTTTCAAATTGTTAGGGAAGTGACTGAGGTTAAATTGTTTACCATTTAATACTTAATGTCAAAAGTATTTAATATTTCATACTGACCAGAGGGCTTTGAGGTACATATGCATTGTTAGTCAGATAATAAATGTAATGGGGACTAACACACAACCTGACTTGACGATGATCCTGATTTTGAAGGAGACTGTCAAGTGGGTAATGCGAAACATTTCCAGTTAGGTATTCAAGAAACAATTTCAGGAATATGACGAAAATTCTTGGAATCCAAATCTTTAGAGCACAATCAACAGAACCTCTCAATGTACTCAGTTAAATATTTTGGTCAGGTCGATGAATGCAGTGAAGAGTTTTTGTTGGTGATCTCCATATTTTCCTTCAATTTGTTGAGGAACAAAGACCATATCAGTGATTCCACTGGAAAGTCACTCTAAAGCTGTACTGTCTCTATCACGGGGAATATTTTCACAACCATTATAAGTAGAAAATTCAGGAGAATATCTGTCTGGATTTTCCCAGCCATTGATAAGAGGGAAAAGCTTTACTGACTTCCACAGTATGATTTATTTCCTTTATTCAATGTAGTTACAATTGTTGTTATTGCTGAAGTTTTGGGGGTGAGGTGGATGGAATCTTGATGTGAATGACAGCTCACCAGCTTTGAAGACCTTAACCTACAGTCCCAATGGTATTCCAGCTCAGCCCTGATGAAGGGTCCCAACCCAAAACGTTGACTTTTCTGCCCCCCTGACTTGCTGTGTTCTTCCAGCTCCACATTTTATTGACTCTGATTTCCAGCATCTGAAGTCCTTGCTGTCTCCCATATTCCGGCTTTGTTGTTTTTCATCTGTAACATTAAGTATTTTGGAAGGAAATGGGAGAAAAATAACCAATATTCGACCACTAAATTTAGAGAATAGACCACGTCTGTAACAAAATGTGTGGGTGGGAGAAATAGTGTGATTTAAGCTGAAAATAAATTGCAGTAGACTTAGAATTGATGGTCAAGAGTGGTAGCTCAAAATATACAAATTGACTTTTCAGGAAGAATAGTGGGAAAAGGAGGCTGAAGTTGTAGGCGTGGGGTGGGTGGAATCCTGATGTAAATGCCAGCTCACCAGCTTTGAAGACCTTAACATGCAGTCCCAAAGGTCAAACAAATATTTTGTTGACCCTGTTACTGATTTTCCTTGGATGATTTGTATGTCTTTTGTTATATTTTGGTCACTTGACATTTAGCTTCGTTATTTTATTTTATTGAAATATTTTTCATGGCTTTGAATTTATTGTGTTAATTTTATCGATATTGTATTCTTTTCTTCAGGCCTTGTGCAAGTTCTGCTTCTGAACAAGATTCCTGTGTGGAACAACCTATGAGCTTGTATCCACAACCTGGAACCTCAAGCTGCCTAGCTCAACCCTGTCCTGAGTGGGTAACACCAGAGTCAGAACCTGAGCATGAAGAGAAACCACCTCCATTATTAACTGTACTTTCGCAGCCAAATGTAAACTTGGAGCACCAGAAGAAAACCGAGAATCAGCAGACCACAAATGGCTCTGCCTCACCATTTTCATCTTGTGGAGCACGATTATCATTAACACCATCTCCCAGACTTGCGAGACGGGAAGATGATGTGTTCAGTATCCACCAGCGCCACAGAGGTGCCCTATGCCATTTGTCCAGTCATGATAATGAGCAAGTACAATTAATGTCAGCAGAGGAACATGAGATAATTATGGAGAATCAAAGAAAGCTTGGACAGTATCTTGATGAGAAAAGAGAGAGTCTTAAAAGAAGGCAAGTGCTGGAGGAAGAACTATTAAAGGCAAAAATCAGGGTGGAAGAATTAAAGGCAGCAAGACTGCAACAAGGCTTGCCAGCTCTCTAAGAAGCTTACTGTTTGTAAATTAATATCTCTATTAAAATAGAGTAGAAGCATTTCACTGCTGTGGTGTGAATTATAATTCCTGCCACAGCGTGCCAGTAATTACAATATAGAAGAAACATTGTACAATGTTTTCTAGGTTTTTGGCTAAATTTAATAATTGCTCAACAATGGTTACTACTGGCAATGAAAATACATTGAACTGACAAATGAGATGAACAATTTTTATGTTCCAATCAAATCTCAAACCTTTGCACCCTTATCAAAATGAGGGGTTGTTTAGAAAATGATCAGAGCTCCACTTGGCTGATTTGATTAACATAGCTCAATTCACATTGCAAACAATATGGTGCATTACGGGATCGTACTTGACCAGAGTAACTGTAATAACTCATGGGAACTTGAGAATGCAGTGCTTTGGAATCCATTTTCTCAATTTTTTTATTTAGAATTTCTTTATTTGAACAGCTGAGTGAGAATAGCTTCAAGTTGTTCCTGGTACTTGCACAAATCAAAAGTTCTAAACAGGAAAAGTTAATCTATGCTGTGAAAATAAGTCAATAAAGGTTTTCACTGATTTGAAATTACAGCCAGTATTTAAGAGTACATATTACACCCAACTATATTTCCTTACTCCTCCATTACTGAAAGGATTTGAGTCTATTTCAAAGTTCTCCTGCATGGAACTGTTGTAATCATTTTACTAGCATGGCTGTCTGTCCCATCACATTTGGTGCATCTCCTGTAATAATTTTTGATCTCTCTGCACAGCCAAAATAAGTCCCATCCTTGCTTTTTTCTTGTTTTATCTTTCAGTCAGTACTTCTGACTTCTTGCTCTCTATTAATTGGATTTTGTTCTTAGTAGACAAGGCTTTCTATAACTCAACATCATTGAGACCTCCTAAACTACTGCATCTCAGATCTGGAGATTGTAGCTAGCTAGTAGCTACATCAGATTCAGCGCAATGTGCATAGTCTCGGTGTCTTGTTTGAGTTGATCACAGAAACTTCACGCCTGTCTCTGTTCTCTTCCCCCTCCTATGCCCCCACACCTCATCACAAGATCATACTGAGAATGATCACTGGCAAAGCGTTCAGTTCCATTCACAACTCCTCAGATAATGAAGTGATTTATGTTTATTTGCAGCAAGACCTAGAAAACACTCGGCTTGTTCAGAAAAATGTTAAATCTCTGCTAAAGTGCCAAGAGATGACCATCTCCCGCAAGAGAGATTCTCACTAACTCTGCTTGTCACAGAGTAATGAACATAGATGCTAACAGTTGCTAACATGGAATTTCCCACCGTCAGCATCTTCCAGGTGGTCACTTACAACAAACCTTTTATTCTTTCAGAAGATGAGAGCTTTCCTGGCTGTGTCAGCATTTATTGCCCATTTCAGTAGACCCGGAGAGCATGGTGGTGAGCTGCTTTCTTCAACGGCTGCCATCCATGTGGATATACATTTAAAAATGCTTAATAACTTTTTAAAAAATTTGATCCAGCAAGAGTGAAGGAGTGGCAATTTATTTCAAAGGCAGGATAGTGAGTGGCTTGGAGAGGCACCTGAAGTCTTGGTGTTTCCTGCATTTGCCCTTTTCCTTACAGATGGTAGAGGACATAGTTTTGGAAGGTGCTGCCTAAGGAGTTCTTGTGAATTTCTGCAGTGTATCTTGTAGATGGTATACGCTGCTGTATTTTTTTTCTTCACTTGTGGGACATAGATGTCACTGGCTGGCCAGCATTTATCAGTTGTGGAAGGAGTGAATGTTTGTACATTTGATGTCATTGAAGTAGGCTACTTTGTAGTGTCAAGCTGTTGAGTGTTGTTGGAGCTGCACTCATCTAGGCAAGCGGAGAGTTTTCCATCACACATTTGAGTTTGTGAATGTTGGACAGGCTTTGGGCAATCTAGGTGCATTACACTCCTTGCAGGATTTCTAACCTCTGACCTGGTGTTGTCGCCATTGTATTTATTAGGCTAGTACAGTCAGTTTCTGGTCAGTGGTAACCCCAGGATGTTAATAATGGAGGATTCCATAATCATATTGCCATTGAAATTCAAGGCACAATGGTTAGGTTCTCTCTTGTTGGAGACGGTGCTAGTGTCACTCAGGAGGGTTTAAACTAGCGTGGATTTGGGGAGGTGGGGGTACTAGAGCAGTAGGTCAGCAATTAGAGTGATTGAGGAAAATGTAGAAGTTAATTAAAGCAAGTCTAATACAAAGAACAGGCAGGGTCAAATTAATGAACATGGCAGTACTGGAGGTCTGAAGTGGATTTCCTTTAATACAAGGAGTATAAAGGTAAAGCAGATGAGCTTAGAACCTGGATTAGTCATGGTACTGTGACGCTGTCACCATTACAGAGACTCGTTTGAGAGAACAGTAGGACTGACGGCTCAATATTTCAGGGTTTAAATGTTTTGGGCATGATAGAGAAGGATGTAGAACGGATGGGGGGAGTTGCATAACTGATTAAGGAGAATGTCACACTGCACTAGGAGAGGACATCTCAGAAGGTTCATCCAGTGAGGCCATATGGGTAGAACTCTGGAATAAGAAAGGTGCAGTCACTATGATTGGGTTTTCTTGCGGGCTTCCAAATAGCCAGGAAGAGATAGGGGAACAGATATGTAGGCCAATCATGGAAAGATGTAAAAACAACAGGGTTGTCGTAATGAGTGACTTTAACTTCCCAAGATTGACCTAGACTCCTTTAGTGTCAGAGGCTCAGAATGGAGCAGAATTTGTTAGGTGCATTCAGGAGGGTTTCTTAAAATAGTGCAACTAGGGAAGGGCCATTCTTGACCCTGCATTGGGGAATGAGCTTGGCCAGGTGATTAAGGTTACAGTAGGGTAGCATTTTGGGAACAGTGATCATAATTCCGTAATTTTTAAACCAGTTATGGATAACGAGAAGACTAGACCTCGGTTGAAAGTATTAAATTGGGGGAAGGTTAATTCCCAGAATTGAAGGAATTGGATGGGGGCAGCTGTTTGGGGTAAATCCACATCTGACAATTGGGAGTCAATTTATCAGAGCTCAGAAGCAGAATGTTCCTGTGAGATTGAAAGGTAATGATGGCAAGATTCAGGAACCCTGGATGAGAAGAGATATTGAAAGTTTAGTCAAAAAGGAAGCAGATGTAAAGTTTAGAAAACAGAAATCGGGCAAGGCCCTTGAAGAATATAAAGGAAACAGGAAAAATACTTAAGGAATTGGCGGGTTTACAGGGGGCCATGAAATGTCCTTGGTGAATAGGTTTAAGGAGAATTCCAACAGATTGTATACATATATAAGGAGCAAGAGGTTAGCTGAAAAGGGAGAAGGACAACGGAGGGAATTTGTGTGTACAATCAGAGGCAGCAGGTGAGATCCTTTAATGAGTACTTTGCATCAGTATTCATCAAGGAGAAGGACATGGATGATGATGATGAGATTAGGGAGGGCTATGCTGATACTCTAGGACATGTCAATTTTATGAAGGAGGTGTGTGTTTTGAAAAGCATTAAAGTAAATAGGTCCATAGGACCCAGGATAGTGAGGGAGGCAAGGGAGGAGATTGCTGGGGCCTTGACAGAGATCTATTTTAGCCACAGGCAAGGTTCCAGAAGACTGGAGAATAGCCAGCGTCCTTCCTTTGTTTAAGGAAGGCAACAGGGATAATCCAGGAAATTATAGGACAGTGAGCCTTGTAACAATGGTAAGGAAACTATTGGAGAGGATTCTTTAGGACAGGATTTACTTGCATTTGGAAAAGAATGGACTTATTAGGGATAGTCAGCATAGCTTTGTATGGGGAAGGTCTTGTCTCACAAACTTGAGATTTTTGGGGAAGTGACAAAAATGATTGAGGGTAGACAGTGGATGTTGTCTACATGGACTTCTAGTAAAAGTATTTGGCAAGGTCCCTCCTGGTGGGCTGATTGAGAAGATTAACTCACATGGGATCAACAGTGAGTTGGTAAGTTGGATAAAATTGGCTTAGTCACATAGACAGAGGATAGCTGTGGAGGATGTTTTCCTGAGTGGAGGTTGGTGACCAATGATGTTTCGCAAGGATCAGTGCTGGGACTCTTGTTTGTAATATATCTAAATAATTTATATGAAAATGTAGGTGGTCTGATTAGTAAGTTTGCAGACAACACAAAAGTTATGGACTTGTGGACAGTGAGGAAGGTTGTCAAAGGATACAATTGTTGGATTTGTTGGGAAGTTGGGCAGAGAAATAGTAGATGGAGTTTAATCAAGAGACGAGTGAGGTGATGCATTTTAGGAGATTAAATAAAAGAGGAATGTAAACAGTAAATGGCAGGACCCTCAGGAGCATTGATATACAGGGTGCAAGTCCGTAGCTCCTTGAAAGTGGCAACACAAGTGGATAAGGTGGTAAAGAAAGCTCACAGCATGCTTGCCTTCATTGGTCGGGGCACTGAGTATAAAAAATGGTAAGTCATATTACAACTGTATAAAACATTAATTAGGCCACATTTGCAGTATGCTGTACAGCTCTGGTTGCCACACTTTATGAAGAATGTGGAGGCTTTGGACAAAAGAGGTTTAGCAGGATAACACAGTGTGGAGCTGGAGGAGCACAGCGGGCCAGGCAGCATCAGAG